GTTCCCTGATTTTCAATATTTAATAATTTAATAACTGGGTTTTATGCAGGATGGAAAATAAAGGTGTAACCTCTTGTGGTAATTTATTCAAATCCTTTTATTTTGTAAAATCAGCAACAGCATGAGGTTAACAACATTCAGTTAGAAGAAACACTCCTGCAGTACTGACAATAATACATCGTCACAGGACTCACTGTACTACTAGTACTTTTACTGTTGATACTTAAAGTACGTTACTGGATGTTGCTGATGTTGGTGGATGTTGTTTGTTCTTCTTTAAGACCAGGGTCACCAGATGGAGGATGGAGGACCCCATCATGTGGATACATGATGTAAACATGGGGCTTTTGGGGCAGTTGGTAATCCAGCCCTGGGGTATTTATTTATTCCACCACTGGTAATAAGATTCTGGAGGAGTGGAGTCTGTTCCCTCCCACCTGGACCAGTTTTCTGTGCCTACTCTAATGTTCACATTATGTCACTGTCCTCCCTCCACACGCACGCCCACACACACACACACACACACACACACACAGGAATCGATGGATGACAGAATAACAGTGTTAATCCTCCTGTCAGATGATGATCGGCTCAGCTGCTAATTTCACCCCCGTTGTTTCCGTCCAGCTCTGCTGCGTGACGTGGATTAGTGGCATTCAGGTGACAATAGGATAAACGGACGCTGCTCGCCGCTGACCTGCAGGCCGGACCACAGACGGAGAGAGAGAGAGAGAGGGAGACTGGACGGTTTGTGCCGTCAGCAGAGACAAAAGCTTCGTTGTTGAAGATGCAACACACTGATTCACAGCTCAGCTGACAGAGGGAGCGCTTGTTTAACAACACACACACACACACACACACACACACAATGTGAAACAGTTTGTCAAGACACACTGTGGTACCATTGTGGTTCAGACAAGACAATGCACTTTCTCCAGTGTGTGTGTGTGTGTGTGTGTGTGTGTGTGTGTGTGTGTGTGTGTGTGTACCATGAGACATAATAATCATAATCAGTTTGTCTAGATTTTACGGAGATGTGTCGTTCACCGTGACCTCGCTAAACGTGACCTTTAGTTTCTACCCAGCTTCCAGCTCGTGATTTCATCCTGAAGTTTCATCACGACTCCTCGACAGAAACCGGACCGGGTCTTCAGACCTGCAGGCCGCCGCCCCAGACGCCGCCCATCAAACATGTGCAGGGCAGGATTTATCCGTCCATCTGCATCATGACCTGCAGAGTGCGAGCTGGGCCTGAGCGCCGCCGCCTGACGCTGTGATGTGATTACTGCATGTCATGTCAGTTTTCATCCCAACTGGACAACATGCTCATAATTAATCTTGGCATAAATCTGGACTTTGGCAGCCTGAGCCTGTGACACACACACACACACACACACACACTCACACACACACACACACAGACACACACACACACACACACACACACTCACACACACACACACACAGACACACACACACACACACACACACACTCACACACACACACACACAGACACACACACACACACACACACACACTCACACACACACACACACAGACACACACACACACACACACACACACTCACACACACACACACACAGACACACACACACACACACACACACACTCACACACACACACACACAGACACACACACACACACACACACACACTCACACACACACACACACACATCCTGAGCATTAATGAATGAAGTCGGACTCATCACAACCTCATATTTACAGACAGACAGATAGATAGATAGATAGATAGATAATAGATAGATAGATAGATAGATAGATAGATAGATAGATAGATAGATAGATAGATGTTTGGATTAGCTGGGAGTTAGGGGCGGAGTCAAACAATGCCAAGATGGCAACGGAGCTGCTCACTGAGCTTAAGAAACCTTTGGGTGATGTCACAGAGGCGGCGTCCATCTTTATTTACAGTCCATGGTTTCCATCTGTCTGTTGCATCTACAGGGAGACCAGTGGAGACAGCCATCTTGGAATAGTCTGAGGTTTCCCGCTCTTGCTAACACATCATTCATTTACTGTGAGAATATTCATTTCTCGTCTTGACCTCAGTAAAGTTTGAGGCGCTGTCGGCTTCAGCGCCCAGCGTCATACGCCTCCGGTCGGATCCCCCTCAGGAGGTGACGGATGGCGTGAGAGCAGAGCAGACCTCTCCCTCTGTACTTTAATACGACGAGCCGAGACTCAAGGCAAGGTCATTCATTAAACATGGCCGTCTAAAAATAAAGGCCTCCTCCTTTCACCGGAGCTGCTCTCTTTAATCTGGGCCAGAGCTTCGAGTGGTTTGCATCGGCACATGACAGACAAAGAGACACAAAGAGGGATGTTTCACACAGCGAGGGAGAGGAGGATGTTTCATCTTCATCGCGACCAAAGGATGGATTTGTACTTCAGGAGGATCCACTGCCTGACCTCTGACCTCTCTCTTGGGGTCTCCTCAAAGGAATAAATTTCTATTATTATTATTTTCTGTCATCAATCATGCAGCAAAGAGCTCTTTCTAGTGATTCATAAAGCCACCAAAACAAAACAACGTAAAAGCCTGAAAACCGTCAAATTCCTAATAAAAATAAACAAAACTCAACCACAAAAGACATCAGCACTCAAGAGTCTGTGATGAAGAGCAAAACGAGTTTAAACAGACATTCAGATGCAAAAAACATTTTATCTACTATTCCAGGCCAGACTCCACACGGAAAAACAGGAAAATAAGAAAACCATAATTCCACTCCTGCATGACGGAGACGGGCCTGAAAATTAGTCCAGCAGTTCAACAGAAATATAAAGAATAAAACTTATATTTCCTGAATTATCTGGTGTATAGCTTTGATTATCTTATGCAAGTATCATGTGTTCTTGCAGCTGCTTATTTGAGATTTAAAATATCCAAATTCATAAGTCCAGTTTTGTTCGGGATTTCCAGCAGCAAGAAAAGCATTAGTTTGGACACTTTTTAAAACTATAAATGTTATAATTTTTTCGATAATGGACAGATTAAGCAGAGAGCTGCAAACTCAGCAGAATAGATTAGTTTTGTTTTTAAACCATAGAGTGACGTTCAGTCCTGCAGACACAAGCTAAAATGACAGACTAGGAATATTACAGATGAGTTATTTCTGCTAAATGCTGCTTTTAAATTCACTTGTTATAGGACTAAGTTCCAAAATAAACCAGGCTCACCTCCTCGTGGTCGTATCCCTCCTCCGCTCAGACTAGTCCCAGGTCACATCCTGTTTATCCAGAGTCAGAGGAGTATGAACCATGTGTGTGTGAAAGTTAAGTTTAAAAGTGTTTCATTGACCTTTGACCTTTAGCCACCAAAATCTAATCAGTTCACCTTCTTCTAAGATCAGTGGTTCCCAACCTGCGGGCTTGGGCCCACTGGTGGGTCGCGGAGGTATTACAGGTGGGCTGACCAATCATTCGCAAAACAGTATAATTTTGGTGAAAAGATGAAATCATAAAAAATATAATAAACATTAAAATATGAATAATACTTTTGAATGTTCTGAAAATAAGTTATGTTTAAAAACATAAAAATGTTGAAAAGTTAAAGCCAACGACAGGAACTGTTGTATTGCAGATACCACATCGTATAATAGTTTCCTATCTCAGTCTGATCGAACGCTAAATGTTCAATTGTTAATCATTAAAATAAAAAGTGCTGTGAGAACCTATGATATGGTTCTATATTGTTATAGAGTTGGCTGTGGGCCCCCGACATTTTTCAGATTTTAAAGTGGGCCATAAGTTGGAAAGTTTGGGAATCAATGGTATAGATGGTATTGTTTTTTTATTCCCTTGTATGTTCTGAGTGGATGCAGCTGTTATATAATGAAGTTTACAGTATATTATGTGAATGTTAGAGGCTGTAGTTCATGAAGTTTAAATAGAAATATTGTGTCAGTACAGCTCCCTGTAACTGTGATAAATTCTAACTGTATGAGCCACTGCGTTGTTTTTATTATCATGAAAAGAAAAACATCGTTGGTTTTCACTCTGTTAACTATAAGAACTGTATTAACTATAAGTTAATTTAACTCTTTCATCCATTCAAGTGATGAGCTCGTCAGAACTCATGTTCACATGTTCAGAAGTGGCATGAGAATAAAACTGAAATGAATAAAACTCAAATATTTACGTTTAATGAATGAGAAAAGATTCGTTGATTCAGCTAAATTCCTGCGCGATGTTTTACAGACATGAGAGTTGAATAAAACCTAAATGTATTTCACAAAAATACAAAAATAATACTCATTTAATTTCATTGTCTTTGGACAAAACTCGTAACGTGATAGCAGAGGAGGATATCTGAAAATAAAAATAAAAATTTAAGACTTAAATTAATGAATAAAATGAAGTTGTTCCTCTCTCGTCTTCATCTTTAATCCATGTTTTACAAAAATATCTTCTCCTCATTTAATGAGATTTAACGCTCCTCCCTCCTTTTCTTCACCTCCTGCATCTTCACTTTCATTTTTCTCCTCTTTTTATTTTCATTTCTAAATCTGACCTTCGTGTCTTTTTCCAGTTTCCTCTCTTCTTTCTCTCTTTCTTCAGCCTTTTTCTGCTTTTACATCTTTTCATCTTCATCCTGGAGCTTTTCTACTTTCCCTCTTTGCGTTCTCCAACTTTTACAATCCCATCTTCACTTCCTCTTCCTTTCTCGTCCTCTCCTTTTTCAGACTTTCACCTTCCCTTTCTCCCAATCCAGAAGTTTTTTCCCCCCCCATCTTCCTCCTCCTCTTCCTCCTCCTCCTCCTCCTCTTCCTCGGTCTTGTAGGTGAGCTGCATGATTGGGCGGCAGGTTGGAGGGGTAGGCTTTTGGAAATCACATGGTTCACATTTCCAGCTCTGTGAGACGCCATTTTGGAGGAAAGTTTGGAATTTGTGGACCTGGGGAGGTGGAGGAGGAGGAGGAGGAGGAGGAGGAAGAAAGAGGAAGAAGAAGGGACAGAGAGGAGGGATTTACACTCAGAGAAGTTTGACACGAATACACAACGCAGGCTGTGCCGGGAATAATACACACAAGCGTGCGGACCAGTGCGGGATAAGTGAGTGTGGGCTTGGCACGGCTTGAGTTTAGGTGTGCCAGCAGCCTGGACTTTGAAGTTTTTTTTATTTATTTCTGGGATCAGCATCAAAGCTCCGGAGCTGCTCGGTCGCCTCCACCACAGCAGCAGCAGCAGCGGCGGGCAGCTCATGCATGCACCGCCTGGCGCTCAGCCTGCACGGAAACGGACTGTTTAGTTTTTCGGTGCATGGAGTTTGGCACACGGCAGGTCCCAGTGGGGCGAAAGCGACATTTATACTTTCTTTAACCAGCCGTGTGTCGCCACCGCGGTCAGCCTGCGCGGTGCACGCCGGGGCAGGGAGCGTCTCTGACGGGGAACTACAGCAAGGAGAGTCGGTCACAGTCGGAGCTCACCGGAGCTTCTCTCTGGCTCCTGCTCGCTTTCTTTGATATTAGTTTGAACCGGGACTCCCGTGTGTTTATTCGCTGGTTTCCCCCGGAGACTCGGTGGTGTTATTTTCGTTGGACGTGTCAGTTTTCCCCTGACAGGGAGTTTGTTTGTCGGAGGGGAACTTGGTGTCGTCGTGGAGGGATTTTCTTCAGCCCCGGACTTGGAGCGGTGACAGCGGGGTTTAACTGGCGGAATAATCAATAGAAAAAAAAAAAACGTCTGGTGTGGGGAAGTGTATGTGGCTAACACGGAACTAGCTCCAGTACCGAGCCGAGCCAGACCCGACCATGCCAGTCAGAAAGAAAGGTAAGCCGCTTTCACTTAACATATTAACTAGCAAGCTAGCTCGGCTAACCGCTGCCCGCCGGGAGAAACTCCAACTGCAGCCTCGTATAAAAAACAAATACAACAGTCAAACTGACACGGACACATTAACACGCGTATGACCCGGACCCGAGGACGCTCCACACGGCTTATTTTGGCCTCACTGAGCCGTGCCGTGCCGTGCCAGGCAGGTAAAGTGAGTTAAAGTAGGCGCTAGCCGGTTAGCCGCTGCTGCTAACCAAGTTGTATTTGGGGCACCTTGTCCGGAGACGAGCCCAACTAAAAATAAACTCTAATATTAATGAAATATTTACAGCGTCTTCAACAGTCACCGCAGGAAATGTTAAAACAGGTGAACTGTAAAATTTAGAAAAAATATCCACACATACTTTTCACATTAATAAACGTCTTTATTTTTACTTTTATTCCTGAAAAAAAGCAGATTATTAAACTGTGTCATTTGTGCCAAATAGTGTGTTAATAGCAGCCTAATTATACTCAGTAATTATATTTTAACTCCCACAGTATCAGCACAGTCCTTTCACAGGGACACACAGGTTTGTTGTGACATGCTGTTCACTGAAATATTAAGTTTTCTTTCAGCTATATGAGTCACTTAAATTCATTTAAGATGCATTTATGTGGCATTTTCATCATGAATTCATGTATTCATATTTTGATTTCTAAATTTGTCTATAGACTTAAAAATCATCACAAGTTCCCAGAAACCATTAGTAACGTGTGTTTTTCATCAGTCACATCTGTGCATTTCAGGGTCTCCTCTGCAGGTTTATAGTGGAGTTTTGTTTATTTTAGGTCACTCTATTTTTACATCAAATCACACACAGCTACAAGAAAGTCCCAAGTCCATCATTTATCTGCATTGTCATCCTAGATGTAGAGAAGCTCAATCATAAAGTTAGAACCAGGACGGATCAGCTTCCATTTACAGGTTTTCTGTCATGTTTGACCTCTAATGTAAATTATGATTGTTGCTCTTAATGGCTGCATCCAGCAGTCATTATCATTTTCTATCAGTCTGTCTTTATTTTGATTTAACCAATTCATCACGCTGCATGTTCCTCAGCTGAACTCCGAACTTGGAAAGACTGCTTTTAGATTTAGTGCTGCAGGCTCCTGGAATAACCTGCGACGCACTTTAAATATGGATTCCCTGAGAACATTGGGACAGTTTAGAAATATGCTTTTTAAATCTTTTAATTCAAAATGTTCCTGAATGTATTAGTTTTTATTAGGAACTGTTTTTGTATTCTGATTATTTGCTTGTTTTCTTTCTGCTTTTCTAATCTCGGCATCATTGAGAATGAGGGTCAGAAAATAACTAAGTAAAGGTCTTTTAGATTGTCAGAAACTCTTGTAATGTGTCCGTCCCAGTTTCCCAGATGCTGAGGTGACGTCTGCTGATCAACACTGTCCAGGAGTCCAAGATTTTCTGTTTGACGATGAATTAAAACATAGAAAAGAAGAAAAACCTCACATTTTAGAAGCGGGAACCAGAGGACGTTTGATATTGTAGCTTAAAAAACGACTTAAACGATGATTAATTTTCAGTTCATGTAGTAATTGACAGCTCAGCTCTGAATGAAGGTCAGTGTATCAGGTCAGCTCCGGGTTTATAGGCCACAAAAACGTCTGATAAAATGCTTATTTTGAAATGAAGACATCATGAACCTCAGTATCAGTATCAGTATCATTCATCTGTGTTCAACATAAACTCCAAACAAATGTAAACCCAGCTAAGTTTTATTTCACAAAGATAAACACATGTTCAGGGAAGAAGAGCAGCGGCGACACTTCACACAGCGACTGTGACATGTTTAATATGAGTGGCTTCTGTTCAGGACTGAGGTTTCCACCCGTGTTGGCGTGTTTTAAAGTGAGGAGGTGCGACACGTCCCGTACTGACGACCGTGAGTTGTCTCCTTTAATGAGAATCATTTGTACTGAGCTGAGGTGAAACTGTGTCGCATGAGAACAGAGCGTCGGAGAAAAGAAACTTTAAATAGCTAAATTATCTTGAGATAAAGATGCATGAAGATCTTTGTGGCTAAAACTATTGATCTGATTTGTTGTCATTTAGTTTTGGACAAAGTGAGTGGATTTCTTCAGCAGCAGAATCTGACGTTTTCATGCCCTAAAAACCCAGAATCGACCTGCTGCTTCCCGCTGTGCTGAACCTGAGATACTGACCTTATATTTAGAGCTGATTCATCAGTTAATCTGATTAATGATCATTCACTTTAAAACCAAACATCCTCTAGTTCCAGCCACTGAAATCTGAAGTATTTTATCTGAATGTCTTTAAGTTTAGTTTTGGTTTAAATGAGTCGACTTCTCCAGCAGCTGAATCACAAAACCTGCTGCTGAACCTGATAAACTGACCCGATTAATCAATCATTTTAATCAAAGATTAATCGTTATAATCCAACATTTCCTAGTTCCAGCCTCTGAAATGTGAGGATTAATTGCTTTTTCCTGTAAATGAGTTTTAGGTTTCGGACATTTGAAGACATCACACTGGCCTCTGGGAAGTTTATTTCAGTTTACAGACTAAATAACCAGCAGACGAGTCTATAATAGAAATAATGATTAGTTGCAGCGCTGCACTCGAGGTTTGTGTCAACTCAACCTCCAACTTTTTTCCAGGTCCATAAAAATCCTTGAATAGAGTCAAAATATTCAAATATCAGGCCTTAAAAGTCATTAAATGTTCTTAAATCTGAATTTATTACTTATGAACTTCAATGGAAGCGTTTTATCTGATTGTCAGGATCAGGAGTTTTGAGACAAACACAGATCCAACCTTAAGCTTCCTCTTTTCCTCCGTGCTCAACCTGAAAACTAAACGGACCTATAGACTCGTCTGTGGTGGAAAACTAAACTAAAGTCCATTCATTCTGAAACTCAAATGAAAAATCTCAACATCTGAAGTATGATTGACCTCTGTGGTGTCTGGAAACAGCCAGCACAGCTCAGTATTTCAGCACCGAGGGATTGTTGCGGCTCTGCCTGTCTGCTGAGCTGAAGCTGCACTTCACCGCCGCCGCGCCTCAGATCAGTTTTCATTAGTGGCGGAGGCTCAGACTGAACCGCCGCTCCGCTCTGTCGTATCCCCGACTCACCTCCTCCTCCTCCCCCTGTCGTCCAGACGCACAGCGAGCTCTGCTGCTGCTGGAGGAGTACCGGGCCAAGCTGAACCACACCGAGGACCGGCAGCTCCGACACTCCATCCAGAGGGTCATCGACATCTTCCAGAGCAACCTCTTCCAGGCTCTCATAGGTACGACCGCCGCCTCCTTTACCCAGAAACCCTTTCACAGGCTCACCTCTCTACCTGGAAACAGGTTTGTCCCAGTCAGGTAACTTTCTGGTCCAGGACGGTCCTGACAAATTCACCAAAAGTCCCTCAGGAGCACAAAACACCTCAAGTTTTCTACTTAAATATGATACTTAAGGTTTAATTTCTCCTTAACTGAGGGAGGTACTTCAGGGTGTTGAACTTGTCCATGTTAAGACAGAGTCAGAGGTACATTCAGTTTTTTCCTTAGTTTGGTCTCTAACCAATGGTTTAACTCACTTTAAGTGATTCTTTAAGTGTCAAACTAAGATAAGGAGAAAACCTGATCATTTTAAGGAAACCATAAGAAGAAGAGTCAAGGTGTTCTGTGCAGCCGGCTTTGATAAACTGTCATAGATGAATATAAAATACTCAGTTTCAACATAATGAAAATGTTTGGTTGTTTAATGAAGTGTCATAGGTGTCGCAAGAGAACTAAGTTCACCCCCCTCCCCCCACTGAGCGGGGCTGAGACGAGAGAGAAGTGTCTGTGGTTTGCAGTTTAGTTTCACTCCTGTGTTCCTGTTTGTTTTTGATCAGATGGTCGTAGCTGTGTTACGTTTCCCTCATCTGTCCGTCTCAGTCTCGTGGACACGATGTCACAGTAACGAAGGGAACGTCTTCAGATTTCACTCGGACTCGAGGATGATCTGATTAGATTTTGGTGGTTAAAGGTCAAAAGTCAGTGTGACCTCAGAAAACACTTTTTAGCCATTACTCAAGACTTCACAGCGTTATGACATTTCAACAACATTTCACACGAATGGTTCATATTTTCTGAGACTGTGGATAAACAGGGTGTGACCTGGAACTAGTCTGAGTGGAGGAGGGATACGACCACGAGGAGGTGATTCAAGTTTGAATCCGCTTTTGATTTTGCAGTTTTTCCAACACAACACAAACAATTGTACATGAGCATCCCCTCCCTCCCTCCCTCCCTCCCATAGCTGAGATAAACAGGAAAACAAACAGGAAAAGACACTGGCATAAAGAGAACATCCAATCCAACATCCAAAAATGTAGCTGCAAGCAACAATATCTCACATCCAAGTTCGATCACCATGAGGCTAAAGGTGAATGTGACAGCAGGTAAGTCTGTTGTCCCGCTGACAGGACCTGAGCCCCGTTCACCACGACATACAGGGTCCCAGTTAAAGCAGGTGCACATGTCGTTGAGCGTCTAACCCTGTAACTTTACATCTTAAGTTATCAGTGAAGTGTGAGGTTCTGTCTGTTTCGTGGGGAAAGTCGAGCAGAGAGAGAATTTATCAGGTGGGTCTGTGTTTCTTCAGCCATATCTCTGAGTCTTGGTATGTGTTGATTACAGCTGCACGATATGCAAAAATAATCACGTTGCGTTTATTTTGGCCGATATTGTGATTTCAATGATCGTTTTTTCATTTAATTTTCACTGAAGAAAATATTAAAATGATGATGATGTTCCTTTACGTCTGGAGAATATGATGTGTAGGCGTCTCTGCAGCTCCACAACACTTATCACCACATTTATCAAAACAATTGCAGCTCCTGCGATTTGGATATTGCGCATTGCAATATTGCAATACCGATTATATTTTGATCAATTGTGCAGCTTAAGTGTTGACTAATCTTTACACCTCTAATGTGAGGCAATCTGCTGATTGTAAATCTTTATTGAAGGTTAAATATCAGCTGATAAATGTCGGTGAACTGACTCCTGGCGACCTCTGTGACCTCGTAGACCTGTAGGAAAGAGTCGGGCATCATGGCTGTTTGTTCACAGTGGGGCGACGGGTCGTAAAGGTCATCGGTGTGTCGGTGTGACCGTCGGGGGCTGAGAGCAGAGCACGCAGCCTGAGCAAACAGCAGCAGCAACATCTGGAAGTAAAAAACACAAAGCTCTGAAGGAGTCAGCTGAAGTCTGAGAGGATGTGGGTGTGATGTGGCAGGAGGTCAGGAGGAGTCGGAGGTTAAACGTCTGGTCTGATTGTTGAAGAGATGGATCCTGATAGAAATCCTCAGGCAGCTGTGACGGCCAAACCTGGAAGATTGGACAAAAACAAACCTGATCAAAGCTTTTTGAACTTTTCAACAAGGTTGGGTTCCAGGTGCATCTCCCTCACGTCCAAGGAAGAAGAAAGTCTGTTGTGTGACAGATGTTCGTACAGTCGTCTGAGGCTAACGCTAACGCTAACCTAGCATCTTGAACAGAAGTAGGTTCAGACAGAGCAGAGAGTCAGACAGCAGGAAGAAAAAAACAAACATATTTTTCCTTGTAAGAGACGAGTTCATCTTCTCTTTGTAAGATATGTACGACGGAGTACTTGGGAAAAGTCACAATACAAGAATATAGTTGTAATATTACTTACTATATAATAATGTAGTAATATTACTGTATTAATTAAAAATGGAAACATTTTTAAAAGGGAAAAAAAACATTTTTTAGGAATATTACAAACAACCAATCAAACAGGTGAAAGGTCAGTCAGTGGCAGCTGCTGTTTGTCTGACAATAGAACAGACTCAGTTTCTTCACAATCTTTTCAGTGTCCTGATGATGATGATGATGATGAAGATGATGAGCCAAAAGATGAAGTTTCTCCTTATTAGTGAAACCTAAAGTAGAACTTCACTCGATGCTCCACGTTCCTTGTTTTAAAGCTTCTGATATTTCCCTCTAAACAACACAACCTAAAATTACAACTTTATTCTCATAATATTACGACTTTATTCTTGAAATTTCAGATTTCTTTTCCTCAACACAGCCCTAATACTGCGTCGCAATTATGAAACAGGTCACCCTGCAGGTTTCCAGCGCCTGTGTTTTAGTGACAAGCCGTCGCCTCGCTGTCAGCTAACAGGACCTGAGTACATGGAGACACTGCTGCAGGGTTAACGGACGGCGAGCAGCAGGAATGTGCTCTGATCTGTTTGAGATTCCCAGGACTGACGGACTGACTGTCTTTTTGTCTGGCACCTTTTCAGCTGTCTTATCAGTGTCTTCAGCTTCACCACACAACACCATCTCTGGATAACAGGGAGTCTGCAGCTCCTTTTTAAAGGTTGTGGGTTGGACTCTACATTTATCATGTAGAGTAATCAATTAGCTTCGTGTCATAAGGGAAACCAATGAAAAGGAAACTAGTGTGACTGATTAAATATTAATGAGGCTGAATGCACGAGAACAAGTCTGTATGTAAGGCTTTAAATCTCACCTCACGTTTAATAAAACCTCCAGTCAGCTGTAAACCTTCAGACTGACTTGTGAACATCAGGGTCAGATTTACCTTCAGTGTCAGCAGACTCTCTGCTTCAGGAGGGGAAAGTGCTTCTAACCCCGACGACAGTGGTGGCTTGAGTCTTTCGGTTTCTTTTCATCCTGCGAAACATCCAGTTGAGGTTCCTGCTCTCAGCATCTTCATCACTAATGGATGAGTGGAAATCATCAGTGTGAACTCAGTGGCCTGGTTCCTGCTCTCTTCATCTTCATCCTCCTTCTGTTTCTGTTTCCTCTGCAGCTTGAAGCACAAGTAGATTTAAGCATCGTCAGGATTTTCTTGGGTTTATGAAGCTTCAGGCGTCACTGGTCATCGGTGGTTTATAAATAGGGACACAAGGCATCAGAGTTGCAGCTAACGATTACTGATCTGCAGATTATTGCCCTGATTAATCAATTAATTGTTTCGTCTTATAAACATAAGAAATTATTTTCCTTATATCCAAGTGCTGTCTTCACGTTACTTATTTTATTCATAATTTACAACATAAGACAGAGAAAAGTTTAGAGTGATAGCTCGTGTCATTAGTCGTGGGGTTGTGTGAGGTCGTCATGTTCAGTCAGTGTGTTTCCTGCAGTAGATTCAGTTGAGAGCAGCAAGAGGACCGGTGCACCGGCTGTGGGCGGGGCCAGCAGAAAACACCTGCTTTAGACACTTTTAAAAGACGCCCAGTGAAACAGTCCAACAGCTGTTTAAATGAAGCTTCATGTAGAATATTTTCAGTTCTTTCAGCGTCTTTCCACGTCAAATAACCACAACTATCACTTTAATGTGGTTGTAATAACGACTTAAAGCTTTAATCAACTAACCGATTGTTTCAGTTCCACGTGGCGACATTTGTTCATGTTTGGTCGGACATCACAGAGTTATTTTGATTTAACATTTGGAAATTTTCATAATGAAAACATAACAATTATAATATATATATAATATATATATAATAATAAAGATTATAAACTATATTAGCACACAGGGAAACAGTAAAGGTGCAAAAACCGATCTACAGATGTAGATGAAGAGATGAAAACATTAGGTGTGTGGAGCGATGATGATGAGGCTGAACCTTCCTCACATTAACACATGAAACAAACAGAGAGTCGGCTCCACCAGCTGTTTATCTCCAAGACTTCACTCGCGTCTTATTTTTTGATTTTCTGTAAATTTAAAATTGCATTGAACTTGATGTTCAGACTGACTCTGCAATGTCTCTTCTCAAACTACTTCAACACGAACTCCCTCTCTCTCTCTCTCTCTCTCTCTCTCTCGGCCTGGGTGTGTTTGTCATGCTCACCCTGACGTCCCAGCATCTGAGTGTCACTGATGAAAAATAGATTTCTGCCACACAGTTTCCAATCTGCCAACCCCCCCTTCCCCAAAAAAGAGATGTCTGCGGCAGGCCGAGCACAGTGTAATCCCTCTGTGGACACGACGATTACCCCCAGTTCATAATCCCCCTCCAACGCCGCTGATTTACAGAGGCAGAGCCGTGTACGTCAGTTTCTGTTTTTCTTCCCATTCTTTCAGTTCAGACCGGCCTGATTCCTCTCAGAGAAACAGATGGCATCTATCGAATCTTTTCAATTTCATAAATCAGTGTTCAGTTTTCAGCCCTGAAGATTTGGATGTTACTCTGCTAATTCCAGTGCGTCTGACCTTTTGCAGATTTTGGCCGAACCTGACTCTTTA